GGTGAAACACTGGCACAGGCTGCCCAGAGAGGTGGTAGCTGCCCCATCCCTGGAAACATTCAAGGTCAGGTTGGACGGGGCTCTGAGCAACCTGATCCACCTGAAGGTGTCCCTGCTCACTGCAGGGGGTTGGACTAGATGGCCTTTAAACATTCCTTCCGACCCAAACCTTTCTTTGATTCTATGAAATGGATCTCACATAGAACCCTACACAGAAGGACCGTTCTGTCTGTCTCAATCGCTCTTTGAGCCATGACGCAGGCCTCAACCCTCCACCCAAGGTGTGCATTACAGGTAAACAGAGATAGTGACCCCACCTTTCAATTCTGCCCCAAAACAAATCATTAGAAATGTGCTCGTATAATAGCTAGAGCAACACGTCTGAAGAAAGCTGCAAAATACACTTCAAAGGACCCACCCTTTTGGAAAGAGGTAAACGCAAACACCTGATACCAACAGCCTTGGCAATGTGACTCATATTGCCCAGGACACTGCATGTTACCAAACCTGCCCAGAACCCAGGCAGAAAGAAGCCAAGCACCGGAATACCTGGAGAGGACACCAACGCAAAGTGGGCAGAAACCTAGTAAAAAGGTAATAGTTTAAACACTGCGTATAGCTCTGCTTTAATGCTGAAAACCTTTCAGTCCGCCTTGACTCCGCAGAATTGCTCTGTCCTACTTTGATAGCAGAAATGGGGTGTGGAATAAGAATGCAGCAAATACAACTATGAACACACCCAACAGGTTTGTGAAAAAAATCAGGGGAGGCTTTAGGGAACTGTAATTATACCAAGAAGTCCTTTGTTACTGTCCCGGATAACTGGAGCTACCTCTGTTTCAACAAAGTACATTAACAAACTGGAAACAAACAAAACTCTTGAGTGAAAGACATCCCAGCTTCTAATGACCACATTTTCATCTAGACTTTTCTGAGAGGTCTGACATTAATAAACTTTATCCTCACTTGAAATGTAGTTCCCTGGAAATTAGCCCTAGCTGAATCTTTCACACTCTGAGAACAGCGTCCCTTCAATGGAGAAGTGGTGGATATTTAACTGATGTGAGAAGCGTTAAGAGGACATTTATGCCTCCGCTGCATTTTGACTCAGTGCTTTGGTTTGAAGTCACAAACGGTCCAGGATGGCCTTACACTGGCTGGCCTCTGCAGGGCCCAGGGAGTGAATATCCCGTGTTTCTTTCTCCATGTATTTGACTGCACTTTCTTGCTTCTCATTTGGGACAGTAACGTCTTCAAAGACTGGCCCTTAATGCTCTTCCTACATATGTCATTTGGGAGCAGGGATCTGACACTCCATGAATCACTTCCAGCCATAACAACTGACCACCT